CTGTGTGCATGAGCCAGGAGTAACCCTTGTGCATCGCTGGGTGTGACACAAAAAGCAAAATAAATAAATGTCTGTCCACTGTCCTCCTGTTGTTCATCGATTTGCTCGAGCGGGCTCAGTAACGTCTCCATTTTGAGACTTACTGTTACTGTGTTTGGCATATTGAATACGTCACAGGTAGCTTGCCAGGCTTTGCCATGCAGGTGGGATACTCTTGGTAGCTTGCTGGGCTCTCAGAGAGGGGCAGAGGAATCAAACCCTGGTTGGCTGGGTTGGCCTCGTGCAAGGCAAACACCCTATGCACTGTGCTATTGCTCCAGTCCAAATACATAAAAATCTTTATATAAGAACAAAATAAAAAAGAAAACTGAGAAAAGATAATGGTGATTTTTCCCTAGTCCTTACTGTGCTTCTGAATTGATGCTTACATTGGTGTTCTCATTTGAATTGTTTTCCTTGGGGGGTGGGAGGCATACCCAGCAATGCTCAGGAGTTACTCCCAGGCCTGCACTCAGGAATTACAACTGGTGTTGCTCAGAGAAACATATGGGATGCTGGGGGACTGAACCCAGATTGGCCTTGTGCAAGGCAAATGCCCTACCTGCTGTGCTATCACTCTGGCCCCTCTCACGTAAATCCTGGGCCTGGGACACAGTGCAATGGGCTGGGCCCATGCCTTGTCTGAGGATGGCCCCGGTTCCATCAAGGCACTGCATGGTCCCCACAGCACCAACAGAAGCAACCTCCCAGGCACTAAAGGAGTCAGGGCAGGGCAATGCAGGAGGGCATGGCCCCAAACCAAGTAAATGTTAGAGCCGCATTTCTCAGCCAGGGTCATATGGCGACACCTGTGGCCGCTCAGGATATTGTAACAGGACACAGGTGAAAATCATATACCCAGACTAGGTCCCTGCCCCCACCTTTCCTCCAGGAGATTAGGGGGCCAACCAATAAGACAGGGGCCCACAGGAAGGCAACAAGGTTGGAAGGGAGCCACAGTTGAGAAACCCTGTATTGTGCAATCCTGCAAGTACATCCTCTCTTCAGCAAACAACCTCAGAGAGATGAGGTCATGTTAACTGTGCCTTGATCTGGGGTCAGAGGCAAGACAGCTGGCAAGACGCTTCTCTTGCGCCAGCTGCTGACCCAAGTTCAATCTCTGGCACGCCAGATGGTCCCTCCAAGCACCACCGGGAGTGATCCCTCAGCACAGAGCCAGGGAGAAGCCCTGAGCACAATCAAGTGAGGCCCCCAAACACAACCACAACAGTGAAAAAAATTCATCCTTGAGCTGAAACTGCAAGACGGCAAACTCTAAGATCTACTTTCTTCCTCCAGTTCCCAGCATGCTGATCACAGAGACATCACTGAAGGCAAAGTACTGAGGACACACCCGCCACTGAACTGTTAGGTGAGTAGGGTACCAAGAGAGGGAAAACACCACCAGTGAGATGGTGATGTACTGTGACAGCTGGCTGTGGACGTGGAGGCCAAAGGGATGATGCTGAGGCAAAGGGCTTTGCTTTGCCAACCTCAAGGTACCCTGGTTCGATCCCGGACACAGTATGTGATAGCCTGAGAGCCAGGCAGTGCCAGGATTTACTCTTGGAGCCAGGAGCTACACATAAGAGCCAGAAGGAGCCCCTGATTACTGCGCAGGCAGTGGCCCCAAAGTGCCCCAAAATAAAAATAAACAATGAGCACTCTGGCTTTCAAAACACATTCCAGCATCTCAAATAGCCCTTTGCGACTGATCCTCTGCTACAATAACACTAAATTTCCAGGCTCCCCGTCCCAAATAAACACACTTTCATGCTCCGCTCAAGCTGTGACGCCCTCTGAAACGCCCTTTGATGCCTCACTTTCTTCCGCTCGGGTCCCAAATGGACTCAGCCTTCAAAGTCCCAGTCAAAGGCAGCAACATTAGCACTGTCAACGCTTCTTGGTAACCGTGTTTCATCTCAGGGCCCAGAAGAACACGTATCTGGCAGACTCAGCTCCCCAGAGCCAGACAGGACTGGCCAGAGGGGATGGCGCTTCCATTTCCACCCTCGGCCCAGGAGTCAGACTGTTCCCCGCCTCATTTCTCTTGTACTATCAGGAGCACTAGGAAGAGAGTGCTGCAATTCAGTCATCTTCAGACTCCCAGTGACTAGGCCTAAGACCTGCAAGCTGAGTCTTCAAAATAGAAGGCGGAGAGGCCAGAGCAACAGTACAGCAGGCTGGGAGCCTGCTTTGCCTGTGGCAGACCCAGGTTCGATCCCCGGTATTCCATATGGTCCCCAGAACACAGCCAGGAGTGATTCCTGAGTGCAGAGCCAGGTGCAACCCCTGAGCATCACCGGCTGTGACTCCAAAACAAAACAACAGAAAACTGAACTGAGCCTTGGGGCCCTTGAAACTTTGAATCGCTGCAACAATTCTGCTGCGGAGTTTTCGGTATCTCCTACCCCAGAAGGAAAATTAGTCGCTATCAACTTACTGTAGAATGAACTATTTCCTGCCTCTAGAAAGAGGTATAATTCCCTTTTATAAAGTCACGATCCTTCAACTATCCTTATCAAGCACTTATTCAGCAGACACAAGATCTCCAAGCATCAAATCCCGACTTCGCTCTTGGGAAAATGTCCAGAAAGACACAAAGACTGTATAGCATACAGTTCCATATACTTACTTGGAGTTAAAACCAAACCACTTGAAAGGACAATGGACAAAACAGAGAAATGAAATCCTTCAGACGGAGGACCAACCAACCCACAGACACCTGGGAGTGAAACTTCAAGTCTCAAGGATAATTATGTGGAAAGAGGCTAATGGAGAAAAGGGTCACCAAGAAAAATGCAGTGTTTGGCCTGAGCAACTGGACGTCTCGGAAGACAGCTGGGAAAGTTGTGGGGATGGTAAAACTCAAAATTCCAGTCTGGGGGCTAGAGCAATAGCACAGCGGGTGGGACGTTTGCCTTGCACGCGGCCGACCCAGATTCGATTCCCAGCATCCCATATGGTCCCCCGAGCACTGCCAGAGGTAATTCCTGAGCACAGCGCCAGGAGTAACCCCTGTGCACTGCTGGGTGTGACCCAAAAAGAAAAAAAAAATTCCAGTCTGGACATGTCTGTGGACTAGACATCTAAGAGGAGATGCCACACAAACATTGGCTGAGGATGAAAATTAGTATTTATACTTAAAAGTCTCAAAAACGGAGAACTCCCAGGAAGTGAAAATAGAATTAATCTAGAGGGCCAGAGGGAAAGAGTACAGCGGGTAGGGTCCTTGCCTGGCATGCATCAAGCTGGTTCCATCCCCAGCACCTTATTCGTTCCCCAGAACACACAGGGAGTGGTGAGAGCAGAGCCAGGAATAACTATGTCCACCCCTCATGCCCCCTCAAAAAGAAGTAATCTATGGGCCGGAGCCATAGTATAGTTGGTAGGGCGTTTGCCTACACGCAGCTGAGCCAGGATCAATGCCAGGAACTCCATCAGGATCCATCAGGAGTGACCCCTGAGCGGAGAGCCAGGAGTAAGCCCTGAGCACCACCGAGTGTGGCTCCCCCACCACCCCCTGCAAAACACACACACACACACACACACACACACACAGAAAGGCAGTAGGAACCATGAAAGGAAGAGGCAGGAACCAGCAGAGATGGCGCTGCTGAGCTGGAGGGCGCTACAGACAAGAAAGGGGGGGGGGGGGGCGTGTGGAAGGGAGGGGGAAAAATGGGGGAGGAGGATATGGGTGAAGGGGGGTGGTGGTGGGGGGGGAACTCCAGCCTTGTGTGCAAGGCCCTGAGCCCCATCCCTGCACATGGTCTGCAGCACCAGACTGGGCACTGAACCCTCCAGCCCACACCATTCATTCATCTTGGTAGCCCTTAGAGTGGACCAGCCCCATCCTTGTCCCTTCCCCGAGCATCACTGGTGTGGCCCTTCGGGAGCCAGAGAGATAGTACAGGGGGCAGGATACTTGCCTTCCATGCAGCCGACCAGGGTTCCACCCCTGGTACCCGGTACCCCTGAGCCCCGCCAGGAGTGATCCCTGAGTGCAGTCAGGAATAAGCCTGAGCACCTCGGTGTGGCCCCAAAACAAAAACAAGAAAAATCATCTTAAGTGTCCGGAGCAAGCCCAAAGGGCAAGATTTGGATGCGGCCAAGCAGGGTTCGATCCTCGGTATCCCATGTGGTCCCCGGAGCACGACCAGGTGCAACTCCTGAGTGCAGAGTTACCCTGCGCACCTCTGGGTGTGACCCCAAAAGCCCACCGTCCTCACCAAAGAGAAAGTTTCACTAGGGCCTGGTAAAACAAACACCTGACAGGTGTGAGGGCCTAGAGGCAACCAGTGAAAGGGGAGGAGATGGGGGGAGTGGGGGAGCTGGAGCGATAGTGTATCAGCCAGAGTGATGCTTGCCTTGCATTTGCAGACCCGGCTCCGATCCCAGCACCTCCAACGGTCCCTGAGCAGCCAGCCAGGAGTAACCCGAGCACCGCTGGATATGCCCCCTCCACCTCCCCTCGCCCGCCCCTCCCCAAAAGAGTAACTGCTACGAAATCAATATAAGAACTTGCTGCTTCTGCAAACCCTGCAAACCCAGAGACCACGGGCGGTCTGACGAGGAGCTCCTGCATCTGTGGGGGTCCCGGGTTTAGGAGGCGCTAAGGCTGGTGTGCATGGGGCAATGATGCCTTGGGAGACACACAGGGGCTGACTGGTGCGGGGGCGACGAGGAGCGCGAGTGGGGGTGGGTTTCGCTAGGAGGTGCACATCCCGGGCAAAGAGTCCAGGTGCCGGCGCTGGGGGTCCCCGGCTGCCCTCGAGTCCTCGCACCTGGGCCGAAGGCGCACGCGCGGGGCCTCCCCACGCCGCGCCCCGCCTCCCCGGCGCGTGCGCACCGCCCCGCGCGCGCCCCGCGAGCGCCCCGCCGAGGCCCGGGGAGGCGCGCCCGCGACCCCCGCCCGCGTCCCGCCGTTCCCGGCGTCCCCGCCCGCAGCCCGTCCGCACCTGCTCCGCCAGGCGCGAAACCAGCACGTCGTGCTAGGAACTGTCACGGCGCGGGCCGGCCAGTCCGTCCAGTGCTTCTCGGCGTCTGCGGAGAGCAACGCGCTCCGGTTCGAAGATTCGCGGCTCCCCGGGAACTACACGCGCTTTTTTCCCTTTTATGAGCTTAGGCGCAGCGCGGAGGCCCCCTCTGCGCATGCGGCGTCCTTCCTCTGTGACGTGCCGCGCTGCCCCATGGGAAATGCAGTTTTCGCTGGATACTCGTTTCTCCACTCGTTGGTTGAACTTGAACCGAGGTCTTGGCGTGTTCACAGGGTCCTCTGGCGTTCCTCACTGCCTCTACAAAATAATGTTTAAAGCTAAAGAACGAGCAGAAAGCTGACTGAGTGGCACTATGCCCTATCCTTTAGTTATTCTTTTTTTTTTTTTTTTTTGCTTTTTGGATCACACCTGGTGATGCACAGGGGTTACTCCTGGCTCTGCACTCAGGAGTTACTCCTGGCAGTGCTCAGGGGACCATATGGGATGCTGGGAATCGAACCCAGGTCGGCCGCGTGCAAGGCAAACACCCTACCCGCTGTGCTATCTCTCCAGCCCCAGTTATTCTTATTCTTATTATTTTGCTTTTTGGGTCACTCCCAGTGATAATCAGGGGTTACTCCTGGCTCTGCACCCAGGAATTACTCCTGCCAGTGCTTTGGGGGATCATATAAGATGCCTAGGATCGAACCTGGGTTGGCTGTGTGCAAAGCAAACGCCCTACCCGCTGTACTATTTGCTACGGCCCCTGTGCCCTATGCTTTATGTTCAAATTTTGCTGCGAGCCTGTTGTTCATCGATTTGCTCCAGCAGGCCCAGTAACGTCTCCATTGTGAGACTTCTTGTTATTTGTGTTTGGCATATCGAATACATCACAGGTAGCTTGCCAGGCTTTGCCATGCCGGCGAGATACTCTCAGTAACTTGCCAGGCTCTCCAAGAGGGGTTGAGGAATTGAACCCGGACCCGTCAGGTCAACCACATGCAAGGCAAACGCCCTACTGATGTGCTATCACTCCAGCCCTACGAGCCTAAACTCTGTAAAAAAATGGCCTATTAAAGTCACTGTCACTGTCACTGTCCTCCCATTGTTTTTAAAAGCAGATCTGGGCCCAGAGCGATAGTATAGCAGGTAGGGTGTATGCCTTGCATGCATCAGACTGAGGCTTGATCTCTGGAAAATCATATGGTCCATTGAAGACCTCCAGGAGTAACCTATGAGCACAGCCGGTGTGGCCCCCAAACAAAAAAATAACATTTTTTTCCGGTGTTTCTATGATAAATGGGCTGGACCGATAGCACAGCGGGTAGGGCGTTTGCCTTGCACGTGGCTGACCTGGGTTCAATTCCTCCGTCCCTCTTGGAGAGCCCGGCAAGCTACTGAGAGTATCCCACCCACACAGCAGAGCCCTGCAAACTCCCCGTGGCGTATTTGATATGCCAAAAACAGTAACAACAAGTCTACAATGGACATTACTGGTGCCCGCTCAAGCAAATCGAGGAACAACGGGAGGACAGTGCCACAGTGCTATGATAAAAATATATTGGATTGATTTTGTTGTGTTTTAGAGTGGTTGCCCACATGTATGAAAAAATTCTGGCTTACCCTTCTCATCCCAAATTTCCCAAGAGAATGATCTGTTTTTGGTTTTCATTTTTCTTTTAAAAATTGTTATGTTATGACCCTAAAATCGGGGAAAGAAGGGTTTTTTGGGGGGGCAGGGGTGTGTGTGTGCGTGTGTGTGTGTGTTTCCTGTTCTGTCTCTGAATAGAACCACATCAGTGGTGACCAGAAGTAAAATCTGACAGAAATAAAGTCTCTCTCAATATGTCTTGCCTCCCTCTTACAAAAAAGTGCTGTTTCTCCTTGGTGTATTCATTTCTCTTCCCCCATAGACTTTCAGCCCCATACTTGCCTCAGTTTTCATTCTCTCACTTCCCACCAATGGCCTGAGCCAGCAGCCAGACTCATCCTTGAATCACGCTTACTCCCCACCCGGATGCAATCCATCACTAAAATAACAGCTCCCTTTTCTTGGGCTTTGTTGAAGTGCTTTGCCCTATATTTGTTCATGCAGCACCGTCCCTCAACTTTTCATTTGCACTGCATCCACCCTAGTCCAAGGTACATCTGCCCTTCCCCAGCTTCAGAAGCTTTTGAAAATGCCAGCTACAGAATTGTTACTCATTTCTCCCCTTTTTTGGGGGGCCATACCTGACAATGCTCAGGAGGTTACTCTGGGCTCTGCACTCAAGAATTATTCCAGGTGGTGCATGAGGAACTCTGTGGGACGCTGGGGATCTAACGAGGGTCAGCCAGGTTTAAGGCAAGCACCCTAACCACTGTACTATCACTCAGACCCCTCATTTCTCACTTTATGTACATCATCATCATTGGGCTCTGCATAGCCTCTTGAAATATACACGCATACATATACATATAGAGAGAGAGGGAGGGAGAGAATATATAGAGACAGAGAACTATATATTATATATATTAGGGTCTTTTATCCCATTTCTCTACTCTTACCATTTCCCTCAGTGGGACTGTCTTTGTAAAATGTGTGCTCCTTGGTGTAAACTAAATGGTAATAAACTATTAACATTCTGACTTTCTCCAATCAGAGATTGCTTTGAAGATCTGTCCTTGTTATTAGCAATACATAAAGTCTGTTTGTTAGAATAACTGCAATATTTTATAGCAGGTGTCCTCACTAATTATTTGGACCCAAAATATTGGACTTTTAAGAAGCTTTAGTTTTTGGCTTTGGGGTCACACCTGGCGGTGTTCAGGGTTTACTCACTCAGGCAGGGCTCCTGGCACTACATGAGATGCTGGGGATTGAACCTGGGCCCACTATATTCTCTCTCCGACATGCTAGACTTCTGAACTGCCTCTGTTTATTACAGTGAACAACCTCGAGGAATCAAACAGAGGTTGGCAAGCTACCCGTGGTGTATTCGATATGCCAAACACAGTAACAACAAGTCTCATGACCGGGACGTTACTGGGCCCGCTGGAGCAAATTGATGAACAACGGGAGGATCGTGATACCTTGATACCGTGATACCGTGAACAACCTCATGTCTGACCCCTAGTGGCCTGTGTGAGAATTTTTCTGGGATGTGTAACCCACTAAGGAGTGGGAGAAAGCAATTCCTCCTCCCCCTCATCTTCCTCCCTTTTTTTTTTTGCCACACCCAGCAGCGCTCAGGGGCTACTCCTGGTGGGGTGCTGCGGGAACCATGCAGTGCGAGGCCGGAGCCCGGACCTGTTCATTGAACTGTTTCCCTGACAATGGCCTCTTAAGGATTCAGTGTAAAACAGCAGGTAAGGTTCTCGCCTTGCACACAGTGACCTGAGTGACTCTGGCAGCCCTGAGCCCCACCAAGAGTAAGCCCTGAGCCCTGCTGGATATAGTCTCAAAAAAAACAAACAAACAAAACAACAACAACAACAACAACAACAAAAATAGGTTCTAAAATTGTCTTTACTCTGGGCTTAATAGGTTTGATCCCCTACCCGCATGATTCCCCAGAGCACCACCAGGAGTTACCCCAGAGCATAGAGCCAAGAGTAGCCTCCAAGCTTCACTAGTGTGACGCCCCCCCAGACCAAGACAAAAATAAAGGGGCAGAGAGAGTACACCAGGTAAGGCCTTTTTTGCCTTGCACATAGTTTATCTACGTTCCATCCCTAGCACCCCATATGGTCCCGAGTCCGCCAGGATTCCTCAGCACAGAGCCAGGAGTCAGCACATAGATACAGAATGAGCACAGATGGGTGCCTATAGGTCTTAAGAACAAACTTTTCATCTTTATTTAGCCCAAGAGTATATGGCTAAAGTGTTGTGTTTTTTTTTTTTAATTCAACATTATTATTGTCTCTACAAAGTGGGATCTAACATTCTAACATTTGGAAGGTATTTTTGTTTTGTTTCATGGTCACATCTGGCGATGCTCAGGAGTTTCTCCTGGCACTGCACTCAGGAATTACTCCTAGTGGTGCTCTGGGGAGACATAAGGGATGCAGGAGATTGACCCCAGTTGGCTGGGTGCAAGGCAAATGCCCTCCCTGCCATACTAACTCTTCAGCTCCCACTCCTGGAAGGTATTATCTGTGCCTGATGATGGCTACTGAGGTAGAGTAAGCTCAGTTCTGTAGGACCAGAAATTCCTTTCTGTCAGCAACCTCCCAGAATGGACTCACAATGCAACTCAGAATGCAACTCACAAGAGACAGGTAGAAACCAGGAAGCTGCTGAGGCACACGGGGAAGGTGGGAACTGTGGAACCTGGCAGAACATTCCCTCTGCCTGAGAGTCACAGGCAATGCAAAGAAATGGGGCCATCTTAGCCTTACCCATCAAGTTATCCTACCCTCAAAATCCTTTCTAAAGAACCTCTCAAAATCCTTTTGCAGGGGCTGGAGCTATAGTATAGCGTGTAGGGTGCTTGCCTTGCACACGGCCGACCCAGGTTCTATCCCAGGCATCCCCTCCTCGAACCATCAGGAGGAATTCCTCAGTGCAGAGCCAGGAGTAACCCCTCAGCATCGCTGGGTGTGACCCAGAAAATACTTAAAAAAAACACAACAATAACAGCAACAAGAAACAAAAACCTGAAGACCTCTCTAGCGGCGAGGGAAGAGCTTCCTTACATAGAGTTTTTAGGGCGGGGCTCTCCTATGAAGAAGTCCACTGGAGAAAGGGAAGGACTCTGCTTTCCAGTAGTGGAACCGCTGCACATCTCATTGGTCGAGCTGCCGCCTTGAAGCAACAGCGGGGGCTTGCTGGTTGCTGTTGAAACTGGAAGAGAACAGCTGCTTCCTGTTGGTCCTGCGCCAAGCTCCCACTGTATAAGGGCCCAGAGCTCCCTCTATGGACCCTCCCTGCACCCTTCCTTGGTTTTTCATCTAGGCACTCAAATTCGCTGGGGTTTTTTGTTACAAAAGGCCTTACCTTTTGTTCCGAAACACATAAAACAAGCCATAGTCTGACCAGTAGGTGGCATAGTATGCATGCATGGAACCCAAGTGAGGAAACGGTGAGATAAATTAACTCTTCCCCGACCGCATTCTTGTAAAATAGGTGAAAACACAAGTGTTGCAAAGATCTAGAACTTATCATAATTTGGTTTTTTGTT